CTAGCACTGTGCTGGCCCCAGCAGCCTTACCTGGAGTCCTAGGGGCCTTCAGGGGGCTGCAGTAGCAGTGATCCTGTTGTTTGAAGCCTGGCCAGCAGCCAGTGCGGCTTCAGCCGGCCAGGCTCTGGTTTTGAGTGGTACCGCTGCCCCTGAATAAATCACTCTACTTTTTTTTGTGTGTGGGTTATCCAGGGGTCAAAAAAATCCCCCGTGCTGCTCCCTTGCAGCGTGGAGAACAGCTGAATGTATGGCAGACACGTCTACGGCGCCACATACTGCACAGCCATGCTCATCTGGATGTGGCCCCTAGGCGTAAACACAGTGATAACCGGTTCAAGAAGTCATATAAGGCAAATAACTGTACTGCTATAAGGCACATTTATAATAGTATAACTACATCTACAGTAGGACTTATACCGATACAGCTGTTTCTGGAAAAATGACCCACGTACCTGACATAGCTAGTTAAATATTCCAGTGTAGATCAGGTTTAACTTAATTTCTTCCTTCCCTCAAGACACTATAGCTTCCCTCTTGAATTCTCCTGGAGAAATCTTTACCATATTGGCAAGGTGACTGAGATAACATATTATATATCTATGAAAACAGTTTTAGAGTTTAGTTACAAACACTATCCCGTTTAATTCCCTGAGGAGTTACGTTTACTTTTCTACTAATCCAGAACCTTCGCTGTCTGAAAATTTAAACTACTTCTTGCTATCACAAGGGCAGAACAACTGCATGTTAAAATGAACAAGTTTACAAGTTACCTTATCTCAATATGAAGTAAAGTAACTGAACAAGTTTCATATTTATCAGCTTCCCATTGCAACATAGCTCTTAACTTTTATTGCATAGCTTACTGCAAAAACTTTTTTCATAATTTGCTTAGAGACATATTTTTATTTTATTCAACTTAATAAAACCAAGTCATCTTCAATAGTTTTTCCTGTAATCCACAAGTTACAGGTTGTCACAGTAAGTTTCAGGGTTTGTTTTAAAATGAGCTGTCACTTATGTAAATCAGGAAGTGGATATTTAATGACTGTAATAGGCAAACTTTGTTACCTCAAAAAGTCATTTTAGGAATAGCACATATAATGCAGACTCTCACAAAAAATGGAAAAATGTGTTTTGAAGGTGGTTAAAAATAGTATCATCAGCCAAACTCTACGTATAAATTAAAATTACCAAAATTTGAAATCTTAACATTGATTTTATTGTAAAAGATGCATATACAAAGCTGCATAACTATACAGTAGTTTTACTATACTACGCTGTGGAATTTTCATGGGTAGCAACAACAGGTTAAATGCTAGTTGCTTTAAGATTACAGCACAGGATTTTTAATTTGAAATTTGAGGAAAACCTGAACCATTCACAAAATAGGAAGATAGCTGATCAGTATAATTGTATCTCTGTATATCCAAAAAAGTGAAAATAAACCCTTTATTCCTTAGTCCTTGGAATCTAAACAAAGAGAAAAATAAATTTCTAAACTGGATATCATCTTTATTTTGGTTTATATTTAGACCTGATCTTTATAAATCTTCATGCTTAGGCTCTAATACTAATTATTAAGCACATTTCCAAGTACAAATATGGGCACAAGGAGTCAGTTGGTGCTTCCAGCCCTATTATAGCCTTGGCAACCCCAAGGATTGAGATGACAGCTGTAATCATTAAGGTGTAAGGTGTATCCCCTTGTTAGGAGTTGGGAATGCTGTAGGAATCTTGTCTTACTCCCTCTATATTAGCACTATAGTAACAGCAGCTGGATATAAGCTTGCAAGTTCATCCTATGGAAACCTCAGAACCTTTGGGTTCCTTCCCATTAAGTTACCACCTCGTCTAGATTTCATTGAGAGAAGAGGATACATGACAATCATTCCCTTGAAAACTTTAATGTATTCTTCTGCTTATACAATATTCCCCCATAGATTCCTGCTTTTATACAGCAACTGGCACATTTTGGGTCCTTCCATAAGGTAAAATGATCAGTGGCATTTTAAAAGTACTCTCCCAGGACAGCATGTTTATATTGCAGTTAGTTCAAAACATCTCAGCATAGCTGCCTAGTGTTAAATGAGGTCTAGTATCAAGTGAAGCGATCAAGTTTCTTTCTTGGAAGGGGGATGGAGCAAGCCGCTACTTTAAACCTAAAGACTGATGCAGGCAGAAAAGCTGTCCACTAGCCATCAACTAGATATCTAATTAAAAGTAGCCTTGTCAACTGCTCTTGTGTTTGGATAGTCAACAAGCTGTATATTTGGCCAACTATTGCATCCATTTGTCAGTGATGAACTACTCTCAACTGTTAATTTTCTGCTTCACTACCCAGGCTGTTTCAGGCAGCAAAACAACAGTCATTTCCTTTGGGACTGTTAGAAGTATTCAGAAAAATAAGTTACCCTTAAGTCAGCGTCCTTACTCCTTTCCCTATAGTGCAAATGTGGACAGATGAAGCAAACTAGATGTATACAGTTACCACTCTCTCCAGTCACATCACATGGTATTGCCCTTCTCTTCGATGTAGCGTGACTCATTTAAGCATTTAGGTTTCAGAAATTTTAATTTGTAGTCATGGGAAATTCACAATACCTAAGCATAGCTTTAAACTTAGGCAAGTTGTGGGCTCAGGAAAATAAGCATTCAATTCATGCTTAAAAGCAAGTCCTTATGCTTTTGGGAAGCAATATTTACATCTCAGGTACTACCAAAGTTATAACTCGAGATTTAAGGTAGTAGAATGGACAGTTAGCTCAGTTCAAGAGCATTTCAAAGAACATTCTGTATGCCTGAATTTGGCTTAGTTAACTGAGCGGATCAGACACTTTCGTCCTTGTGGAATTAAGATAATCCAGTCCCTCCTTCCCTGTGAAGATTCCTCAGCAAGGGGGAGTCCCCACTGGGTACAGCTTGCCTTTGCCTGTTACCTTACAGCAGACAAGGCAGTGCTGTAGCTGAAAAGCACTCTAATGCAGCTCAATTCAGCTGATGAACACAGGGAATACATCTGCACATATAATTAATGCAAAGTAAAACTCCCAAGCTGTTTGCTAAGTCAACTGCTCCCAGGCGCAGTGTCTGCACATGCACCTGGGACAGAACAGCAGCAGTTTGAGCTGGAGATGAGCAGCCCTGGACTGGCAGCTAGTTTGAGGGTAGGGGAGTCAGCCCCAGGCTCTGGCATCAGGGCTGACTGGGGCACGAGAGTGCTAAGTGTGGAACCATGCAGCAGGCCATTCCCATACTTTAGCACCTGTGTGCCCCAACCAGCCTGCCTACATGTGCGTTTTGGCAAAGTAACTGAGCCGTAAAATAGTACGGTCCCTCATAGTACTACCTTACAGTGGAGTTAACTCTAATTTACTGTACCCTAATACCAGCACATGTGTAGATAGAAATGTTTACTGAGGAGCCAATTAATCAATTGTGCAGTAAAGCTCACATGTAGATACACCCAGTATGTTGTAACCTGCATGTAAGCTGGGTAGAGAATAAAGAAGACCCCATCACTTTCCCCAGTGGTCTGGCCTCTAGTATACCAAGTTTGGCTTTTACGTGGCAGAATCTGGACTGCTACATGTATGCTGACCCTACCAAAATATACACCACCTAGAGTAAGAAGCTGTCTCCTTCTTATAGCACCCAACTCATGAGTTCAATTCTTTTCAATATTTATTGAATAAAATATTGAAAACACCTATTACTTATTATTATATAATAGTAACCATAGCAGCCCTTGTACATGTACTTGTTCTTAAAATACACTACTTACCCGCCTCTGTTTAGGTACACTGCAGTCCCTAGTTCTCAAAGTTAGCGTGTAGTTTTTCTTATGTTGTTAGACCCCTCCTGTTACAATTCCTATGTACAGTAAGCCACAAGTAGATGGAACAGTGTAGAACTCCATGTTCTGGGGAAGAAGACTGGTAGGTTTGACAGGTCTTCCTTGAACAAATGCTTGTCCCATAGAAATGGAACAGGTAGGTAAAGAAAAGGTATATCTTTTATGGTTGAGTAGTCCATACATTCAAATTTGAGAAAAATGTGCTCCGCACTTAGAATAGCAAACCCCTTCTGAACTATTTTAAGTAAGGTAGCAGGTTTACCCAAAGAGATGCACAGCCATGCTTAGATCTCTCTACCCACGCTTCTAACCTGCAAGGTCTTCAAATATCCAGGTGCACATTCTTTTCTTATGATCGAAACGTGAAAGTTTATATTCGACTTGAACAGAATATTCTGCTTCACCATATGTGCCTGGAAAAACGTTGCTTTCATTTGCTTTAACGAGATCCTTCTTGTTCATAAGCAAGTATCCTCATTTTGGAAGGCAAAACTCCAGAACATGCCCTTGTCCCATTTCATAAGAACATGCTGTCACAGCAACAGCTTAAACTCTTGAGTACTACCATCAGTTTACTGGATTGATACATAAATTATTATCCACTTCCATTACAAGTATCCTTGGAAAGGAGGCAGCCTTCACCAAAAGTAGCTACCCACTTACTGTGAATACTGGTTACTCCCCTTGTGTTGTTAGGAAGGACAAACAGGCAAGTCCCTTATAGGAAATCCACATTTGTATGCAGTCCAGAGCATGGGCTGCAGTGCAAATTCTTCTGCTTCTGGAGACATGGATAAAGTAGTGCATTCTGTGTACTGGCAATATTATCTATCACAGATCCACTCTGGAAGTTGGTCAACACGCAAAACAAGAAAAAAAATCCTTTAAGTCCATGGCTAATGGTCTCCTTTTCTTCCCTGTCAGGCAAGATGCGGTTTATTTGTTGAAAGTTGTAGCTGGCCATCGAGTAATCCAGCCATCATGCTTCTCATCTGAAGAAACCATTTCAAGTGAATCAGTAAATGAAAATGAGACAGGTTAGAAATATGCGGAAGACAACATCCAGGTAAATCGAGTATTAAACTGGTTGCATCCCATTTCTATACACCATACTAAGGCTCAGGTTACTGCAATAAATAAACCCAAATGAACTATCACAAAAGGAAATATTTCCTTCTGTACATGATTTTTATTATTTACATAATACAATATAGCATAGATGCTGGGGTAGCATGAGTATGTGCAATACATAAATATGAACTATCTGTACATTTATCTAATAACTCAAAACTGAAGGACAAAGTTTAAAAGCAAAAACCTGATGCTTTTAATAGTGAAGAAAAAAACTAAAGACTGAACACTGCAGTAAAAATCAGGAGTAGCGCCTTGTGTACATACTTAAATATTTACAGATGAGAACAGGCATTACCACAACACTAGTCTAATCTGTACTTGTTTATATAAAAAACACAAAGTTTCATACATCACAGAAAACCTTCCATTATAACACAGAAGTGATATTACCAGACAAGCATCAGTGAAGTATACTGCCTTTTCTAGAGTTGTTATTGTACAATGCTGTAGATAATGCAGCCCATGCAATACACCCAAGAACACTACAGTCCTACACCCAAGTACAATTAAAAATGATAAAGCAGCCCTCCAAGTGTGGTTCCAGGTACCACTTAAGTCTACAGCAGCCATGTTGGGTATGTTTTTTTCCATGCAAAATGGTGCAATTTTATTACATTGCAAACTATAAAAATTAAAAAGCTCCTAACATTCTCTTGAACCAGAACACATTCAACATAAGTACATGAAAAATTAAATTGCTCAAATACTTTTGCAACTTAGATCAGATGCATATGTTACTTGATAGAGCTGTTGTGGTAAGTCTAAAAATCATATGTAGCTTCCGTTTTGTAAACAAGTAGTGCAGTATTGTGCTACACAACATTTTTAGCTATGCAAGAGTAAAAGCAGACAACTCTTCTGTTGCAGGACAGTTCATGTAGTTTCAAAAAGGACATTTCCTTTGGGAACCCATTCTTCTGGTTCCACAATGAACGTAATCAGTTCCAAGATGGTTTACTCCTCCTGGTTTCTGGATTTCTTACATTTTTCCCCATACACAATTTTAACTGTCTCTCAAATATGGCACCAACACCAATATCACTGAAAGGTGGATCCTCTGTATAGCTTACAGTCTGCTTGATAACAATGAAGTGTGGAAATCAAAAAATAGAACAAGATTCAACTATGATAGAAATAGACTGCCAACTTTTCTGATATTTTCCCCCCAAAACAGGCATGTAATAGTAGCCAAAAGGTTATCTCTCTCAAACACATTCCCAAAAGGCAGATCTGCTGCAAACATGCAGATTTTATACATTTGTTCGGCACACATGAACTAGACAAGTGTGTCCTCTGTGCACTTGTTTTGCTATGCAGGTCTCAAAATCATCCAATTATATTCTGGGGAGGGCATATACATTTTATAGGGCTGTATCTATCCATTTCTGCCTGTAACAAACACCAAAACATCCTGAAATATCAATAAGACAGACAAGACTAAAAGTAAAACTCTGGAGAACATCAAAGAAAAATGGCCATGCATCTGCTCTTTAATGTTTTCCTAGGATATATTAAAATAAAACAAGGTAAGTCAGTCTTTTTCACAAGTAGGTTAGTTTATATTCTCTGGATTTTTTCAGCCACGACAACTGGATTTTCTTTCCTGATTTTTGCTGCAGCCTCTGCTTTGTAATCATATGGGCAGTTATGCTTGTCAGAGTAACGGTGAAGTCCACAAAACAAGTTTCCACATCGGCAGTCAAACCCTGCGCAAACAAAAGGAAGCAGTGTCACTTGAAGCTTCAGATAAAAGAAAACCATAATTTTAAAGCTTAGTCACTAGAGTGAAGAAACTAAATTTTCCACAAGTGCTCCAGTAACAGCAATCTAGGAAGAAAAATGCTCCTTTTAAACATTAGTTATTTTAAGGGATCTTATCCCAGTAACTTTGAAATGCTTCCTGCCCAAAGTAAAGTTTTGCAAAGGATGCAAATACCAAGTTCAAGCCAGAAAGCTAGACAATGCAGACACAAGCAAAACAGAACTTAAGCAGTTAACAAGCCCTTTTCATACCTGTAAGGCCAACCTTCTTTCTGCACATAAAGCATCTGTTCTTCTTTGGTTTGGGCAACTCAGGAGCTCTCTCCTCATTCTGTGAAGTACTGGGTTGAGAGACTGATGGACTTGGTTGAGTAACAACTGTTAAAACAAGAATAAAAATAAATAAATAAATAAATAAATAAATAAATAAAAGCTTAACCCTTATATCTGGAACTATCTTATCAGTTTGATTTCAACTGATAATGCAATAACACAGTTGTTCAAGAGATAGGTGTATGAGTCAGAAATGATGCTGTTTCTTCCCCAGAGCTATGTATACTTCATAGTACACAATACTATAAAGATTGCACATTACTGCCACTGTCTTTTAGCTACGTATCTATTAGCATGTTACAAGGCTGTGAATTTTATTCCTTCATTTATTCTGTCAATTTTATTCTTTCATGACTTGTCTTGTATCCATGACTTGCCTTGTTAACCTTTCCCTTGGTTCCTGCATGTTTATAAGCATCAGTGCTTCCCTACCATTGTAAAGCACCTTATATCTATGGATTGAAAAAGTCTCTCAGAAATCCTAATAAGCACCATGTAAAGCTTAAAGCAGGTCTCAAGATTCAAAACATCATGCAGGCAAGTTAAATTTAAGGCCACGTGGTAACAGCATTGTTATAGGCAACAATATCTTTAAGAGCCTTTCCCAGAGTTTTACAGGTAGCATTTACCTACCTTGTCTAGGGGCAGGTCTACACATGCCACTAGGGGCCAGCAATAAACTGCAGAGCAATAACAGTTTATTGTTCCCAGGAAGCATCTCTATACATGTGCCCAGACTGCAGCACACCGAGCCAGGTTGCAGCAGCCCCAGCTCACAGGGAGCCTGGGGAGTCCCTCTGCCATCCCGGGGCTGCTCCGACAGGGTTCAACGTGCTCCGGAGGGGCTGGCTAGAACACGAGGGTGCTTCAGTGTGGCTAGTGGGACTGCTAGTGGGCAGGCAGCCCCAGCACTGAAGCACCCTCATGCCCTAGCCAGACAGTGGGCACCTACACATGTGCTGCTGTGCACAAAAAAGCTCTGCAGCAGGGTAGGACTTGTCAATACAAGTCCTACCCTGCTGTAGAATTTATTTTTCTGCGCCCTAATAGGGGCACCTGTAGACACCAAGACATTTACTGCATAGTTAATTAGACAACTGCACAGTAAGCGTGTTATGTGACGCATCCTAGAACAGTTTAAAAATGCATATGGGCTTACTTGAAGTTTTTTGGGGAAAATAAAAATTCTTTCTGAAAGCTGAAGGAATCAGATTCATTATTGTGCTTTAACTTCTATAAGCAAGTCAGTTTAATATTTTCCTCATATCACAGGTCAAAAGTGAAGCTGGATCAGGCTAGCAAAAATTAGAAAACATTCATAAGTCTCAAATCCCTAGGTCCCTAATACTGCCTGTGGGAGAGACCTGCTATGAACTATACTATCAGCATGGGAATATTGGAGTTCATAGAGAAATTGATTTCAGTCTAGGAGAAAGCTCTCCACCTTCCAAGGCAAGCACTTCTCCACAGTTTGAAAAGTACAATTGCCCAGGCTTTGGCTGAACCTAAACTACCTTGTACTGCATTATTGCCATTTACAAAGTTGATAGTCATTGATTCTCCATCCAAACATCTCTTTCAAAATTAAATTTAATTGTCCCATCCCCACCCTTTTCCTGAACATTTGGGATTAAGCTCATATTAGCTTTTCCATTTTTAAAAGGTTTTACTGGCAATAAAATCTGCAAGAGAAAAATGTACAACCCTCAGGGGAATCTGTTTATTACCTTAAAAATTAAACTGGCTTTGACTCCATTACTAGATATATTTTTCTGAAAATTCTTCTCTCTCACTAGCTTTGTACGAGGTATGCTTAAAACATTTGTAAGCCAAGTCTTGAAGTAATAGGTTCAGCATATTCATATATAATACTCCAGAAAGTCTGCAAGCAGGTCTAAGAGCTTGTGTGTTCCAGAAAACCTTAAGTATACAGTACTTAAGTGCATTCCTCTCAGGGTGAAAGCACTTTATGTAGTAGTCACATGATTTTCTACACAAGAATCACTTATTTTGTGACAAACTTGCAGGCTTAACTTCCAGAGAAGCCTACTTGAAATGGAAACTAAAATTAATTTCTGTCCCAAAAGTTCATGATGGCACGGGTAGAGGAAGGAGAAGAACTCTGCATTTTAGTTGGAATGATTTTTTCCAAAACAATGAAGGTACATCTGCCACCCATACATTTTCCAGTCTTAATTTTTCATAACTGGCTTTGCAAAATGTTCTTACCAATAAGCTTAAATATTTTATTTGACAGCAAAAATAATCTATTGTGTGCCAAGAACCTGGAAACCTGAAACAGGGATTATTTGAGGAACAAGTAAAATGAAAGTTCCAGTTACCTGACAAGAATTAAATCTCAACTTTTTTTTTTTTTTTTTTTTTTTTTTTTTTTTAAAATCAATACTACTGTCATGGTAGACTTTTGGGTTACTAGTTAAATCTTTTGAAAATAGACTTCTGGTGGAAGTTTGTCATATGCTTACCACAGAGCCTCAAAATTAAACTAACTTAATCTCAAATCCTAAATATTTATTTCTGGATGAACATATGGCTGAAGCTGTCTGGGGCAACTGAAGTTATGGAAGATAAAGCGATGACCCCTTTTTTCCTCAATAGTGAGCATCTTTCCTATTATGATGCAAATAAATCATATAGTTCTGGACTCTTAAGGTATGTCCATTCCCTCCACCGTACTCAAGGTATTTTGTGCGCTTGATGACAGTGCAAGAGACACCCACAGGGCAACTTCACCACCTTATATCTGGGTTTGGCGTGTGGGGAAACTGGAATATGCTTCTTGTCAACAGTCTTAATGTTGTTGCAGAAGAGATGTACTCTTAAGTACATAACACCGGAGGGGCAGCAGCAAGAAAATTTTTCACTTTACAGATGACTAAAATACTGAATCTTATCCTGTCAAGAATCTGCCTGATTGAAAGTGACAATGCATTATTTGGGACTTCAGGTCTGTTTTATTTGACAAAGCACCCACAAACTGATGGGCTAACAAGCTGATAGTCAAAACTGTGGTTGCTGAGGTCCTTTACTGCCTACATACCTTATTGTGCACACTCAAAACATATGGATTGGGATTTACTTTGCTTAAAGTGTGTGTCCTTGTTTTGTAATCATGAGCTACCAACTGAAGGACCAAGAAACAAGTCAAAGCAAGACCAGTGTAACCAGTGAACAGTTTTTTCATTTTATGAAATGATCTTGAGAAATGACAATGATTCAAACCATTTCAAAACAGAAAATTTAAGTACCCCTCTCATTTGCATAGTTTTCCCATAACCGCTTCCACTTATTTATTTTCATCTCTTTAGAAGTGGAGACAGTTCTAACAAATTCAGTCAGCTACTGGAAGGCAGAGGAGATGTGAACATCCAATGTGCGGACATTAGTGCAAAAAAGCAAAAATTTCCTCCCTGCAATGACCATCCCTAGAATTTAAGGTGTGGGGCTGGTGAAGATGCACTGAAAGGGAAAGAAGCTTTGCTAAAGATCCAAGCCTGCTGTGACAAGTATTACTACAAACATTTTAAAAAGGAAGACAGAAAGAAACCAAAAGCAAAATGAAGTTAAAGCAAGTCAACCTGAAACTTAAGTTGGTATTACAGGTGCACTGATACATTGGCCTGATATTGGATAGACACCAATATAAAGAAAATTGACTATAACGGAAATCAGCCTGATGTGGCCAATAAGTGCCTATGCATGCAGTCGCAGTGCCGCACGCAGGCAGTGAGGAGAGCTGTGTGCAGCTGGTAAGTCTGCTGTGGTGAAAGGGGAGGGGGAGAGAAGGGGTGTGGGGGAGGAAGATCAATGCTGCTTGCAGTGGAGGACAGAGTGGGGCTGGGGTAGGTGCTGCCCAGCCAGGGTGGGTGCAGGATGGAGATGTCTGGGGAGTGCAGCACTAGTTCAGCAGCTCCTGCTGCTTGTCCATGAGGGCGCCGGGCAGGGGGCGCCTTGTGCCCTTGAACCTGGGCTGGGCAGGGCAGGCTGCAGCTGTGCTCTGGGTGGGCAGCTGCAGCACTGGAAGGGGGCTACAGCAAAATTTGGGGTGGCTGCATCCCCCCCCCCCCCCCCAGCACCATTGTCTGCCACCGCGAGCACAGCACTGCACCCTACCCGGCCAGCACCCATCCAAGGGCACGCCCCCCAACTCCAGACGAGCTGCAACTGTCCTGTGCGCAACCCTGCCTGGGCAGCACCTGCCCCAGCCCCACTGCCTCCCTCCTTCACTGTGGGGGGCATTGAGCTTTACCCCACCCCACACCCCTTCCCTCCCCTCTCACCACAGCTGACTTACCAGCTGCACACAGCTGTATCGGAAATCGGATTGGTATCATTCAATATGCATCCTTAAAAATTGGCCATCTGTATTGGCCCCCAAAAATCTATTGGTGCACCCCTAGTTGGTATGGACTTCTGCTACAAGATTTCTACAGCATTCAATTTGAATCAACTCTAAGACATAGGGGTTATCCAATTTTAAAAACACTGAAGTTTGATGTTAGCATACTAAATAAAATGGTGTAACTTTTCCAAGTAGCTTTTTATCAGTTAGGACAGAAAGAGACAAGTACTATTTCAGCTTGTTGTTTTTGGTGTCAATGAGCAGGCATGTTGTTCCCTAAAGAGATAAATAGTCAGAGGGAGTACAAGTTTTAGAGACTTAGTTACTGCACTTCAGGAGCTTGAAAAAAAAATAAAAAATTACACGGGCAGTTTTCTTAAAAACATTTGTCATCTGGGGATTGTGACCATTCTTCAGGTGACACTGATTCAGGCATGATTTGCTGGAACATTATTATGGATGTGGGAAGAATTTGTATTTACTGCAAGCCTCTTCAGCTACCATTTCATATCTCACTTCTAAAGAGGTAATTTGCAAATTTACAGCTTGTAAAGTAGTCTCCCCTTTACTTCTACACATAGCATAAGAATGGTCAGCACAATAAATGTTTCAGAATAATGAACACTCATGTTTTTATAGATAATAGACAGATCTTGTGTACAAGTATTTAAGAGTTAACACATAAAAGCAGACTTTCTAACTGAATATAACTAGACCAAACTGAAGGGCTAGCTGAGTGTCACTCACTACATCTCCTCAACCTTTATAGTTCATCCACTCAAAGTAGTTAATGTTTAACAGAAAAGCCTTGTCTATAAATACCAGATTTAATTTTTTTTAAATTAAATTCAGCATTTCGAAGATTGCAGAACCCAGGTGAAACAATACATTTTACTTGACGTGAAATCATGTACACATTTGGAGTTTACAAATGAGTTTTACAAAACAGTATCAATTGAATGACTTGGTAACTGTGGGTGTAAGCATGTTTTTCTGCAGCCAATTATTTAATCCTAGGCTTCAGAAATATCATTAGATAGCTGTAATCTTTCTGGGATGAGAAAGAAATCTGGTAAAAAAATCTACTATAATTGAAGTGTTTAATGGCCTGGGCTTCTGAGCTAACTACATGTGCACCTATAACCAAACTGCTCAGTTAGTCCAAAGGACGGACTATTGAACTGTTTTCACAAGTTTTAGACCAACAACATTCCCCTGTTAGTCTGTGCTCTGATGTCACTACTGAAAATAAAAGTTTAGCTCAACAAGCTTGAGCTGTTATTTTCCAAAGATATGTACTTTAAAATGATGCAGAGGGTTCTAGGATTGCTTCAGCAATTACAATGGAATTTACCAGAACTTGCCCTCAGATGTCCAGATTCAGTGGACTTGTATGCATGTATGAAGGTCAAATATCCCAGCTGTTTTTCCCCTGTACTACGGAGAGTGCGCTCAAAGCAACTATGGCAACTTTCAGTTTTGACATATTTCTTGTAACATTTATGGGGAAAAAAAACTGATCTACTGAAGAAAAGGCAGTTTATGAAACTGGTCAGCTTCTGTTAAGTGATTGACTGTATTCAAAGTTGATATGAAGGCATACCTGGCTCTGTCTCTGTTTTTGGCGATATTTTTTCCTCTCTTGAAATGCTCATTTCAGTCATTTGCTGCGTTACAGGCAAGGCGGCAACAGGCACATTTCTGTTTATGTTCAGTAAAAGCAATTCATGTTAGTTTCGATTTTGTAACATTCACAACAAGAAACTATTCCAGCCAGCAATATGTTCTAGAGCAATGGTTTTCAACCTTTTCTCTCATGCGGATGCCTAAAAAAATCGTGAATTCAGGTTCAGATCCTTTTAAATTGTAAGTGTGGGCATTCACATACTTTTGATCTGTTGTAGTCATCTTTCATGGACCCCTTAGACAGTCTGTGGACCCCCAGGGATCTGTGGAACACAGGTTGAAAACCACTGTTCTAGATCCTAACTTCTACAAAAGCAAAGTAAAGAGGAAAAGATACTTCACAGCTCCAGAATAAAAAACAGGTAAATCTGTAGCACACTTTTTTCCATCAAGGTCAAAAGTATCCTTTAAAATATAGTTGCTCAAGACAAAATACTGTACACTATTAAGGTCAGTTCTCAAGTACTATCACTACACTTTCAATAAATGTATACATCATTCATTAATTACAGACTAGGCACAAATTGTGAGCTATTTTATTCTCTAGAAATTTGCTGTATTAAGGCCAATATAAACTCAAGCCTCTAACTTGCTTTATTGATTGTAACTCATTTGAGTCTCAGAACCCCACTATAAAACTTACCTTGATTTATCAGATGTGCTGCCAGCAGCACCTTCACAGTTGTTTAAGCTAGCATCTGCTCTCTGTACTGATGCAGAGTCTGAGGTAGGACTGTTAGAACCGCTGGTTGTTCCTATACAACAGGAATGTGAAAGTTGATCATTATTCTTCATATTTGCTTGATATCAACCAAATGTTTGTACATAATTATTAGCTGTTCTCACCCATTCTTGATTCATAGGATTTTCCCTTGATATTTGATTAGATCAGATCTATCACTAATGGTCCAATACAGACTGCTTAAAATATATACAGCAAATTCTCAGCAGAAAAAGTTAACTGAACTAGAGAGGTGAAATACGGAGTTGTTCAGAATACACTGAGAGTGAATGTGTATTTATTTTTTTTGCTAACTGCTCTGAAGTAGTAATTCCTTCCATTGCCAGATCGCTGATTTCAGTACAGTAATTTCAAATACTCCTCTTCAACATTTGTTCTATGATCCCTGCCATCTCCTCAGATGATTTTTTTCTTCTTACAAGCTTACCCATTGGACTGATTCTGCCACTATTTTGCTGTCGCTGAAGATGTTCTTTGTAGCAAACTGAACACATTCCATTTGTCCTAGGATTCCCATAAAATCCACATCCTGTACTACACAGCATGGGCCCCGGGGTCTGGTTGGTCTCCTGAGCCATTTCTGTGCTGTAAATAAAACCAAAAACTGCATTAGAAGCTGGCATGTCATCAAAAGTGATTACAGAGTTGGTATGATGGTCATTAGTATCTTTGCTTTTTTTCCCTAGAAAGAATGATGTCAGCATTTTTAACAAGGACTATGCTGTTAATATACAGTTGCTGTATTCAGGTGTATTGACATTATTATGTACTTTATGAACTCTTAGCAGAAAAAACATTTTTAGTGCTTCAGCATGAGGTTGGAAAAGAAGTACAAATACTGAAACGTAAAACCTTGTACCATCGTATACAGAATTAATGCAGCCACTGAACAGCAAAATCTACATTACATCATCTGTCACTTACTCTAGCTGGCTTCTATTCTTGAAAAGGTCATATCTGCAGAATAAGCTAGTGCACATTTGTGGACACTAATCGCTTCTGGCAATTAATACAATCAATTTCTCAGATTCCTCAGTAAGGAAACTGCTGCTTCTGCCAATATGACACATTGGTCCCTAATCATTTTACTGAGCTTCACAAATTATGAACAGATTGTATTTTGGTAATATGTTCTGTGAAGCAGAGTGAAAGAAGTCTACCACAAGAACTGGCAAACACTCTATTTCAATCTGTACTGCTAAGTTTAGGAGTGGTTACTCAACAGCGAGAGGTCTTGTTAAGCTGTATATGAAACTTGACAGGATGTTAAGATGGCAACAACATGTGTGCAGACCTTTCAGTCTACTGGAGGCAACTAGTATTTCTGAATACACACCTTTCACTTCTTTAAAAAAAGACTGAAATGAAAAATGAAGCCTCCAGCTGCTGAAATTCACCTATTTACATAGCATGCTTGCTGCCTGCAGCTCAGCCAAGCATTTTTGCTTTAAAAAAGTAAACAAAACATTACAGCAAGGCAGCTACATCTTCAGCAGATAATGAAACCCCTCATCTCAATAGGCCAACAGCAAAATTTAGCAATATAAATACTTCACCTTCACTGGTGGTTAATCTCTGCAATGCAAGGTTAGTAGAAAACCTGATATAGCAACCAAATCCTTGGTTCCCAAGGGCACTATTATAATTGGAGCACAGTATAGTCAAGTGATCTGCTACAAATAGAGGACAAATTAAAATATGAGATTTGTCCTCTAGAAATGTAGTTTTAGAACATCTACTGTACACGGAACATTGAACAGCAATTAGTAACTGGCTTTCTTTAAAAGTATAAAAAGTGTGGCTATTGCATTCAAAAACTCTTCCCCCAAATTAGCAGCCTCCTTTTAAGCAGTATCCATAATGAATAAAAGAGATTTTCTGCAGACCAGTTTAGGCTTACAGCAAATGTTAAAATGCTTTTAGACAACAATATGAAAATGATGCTGTTGCCCAAAACACACATCTCAAAATTCATCTTCTGCAGGTTACATATCTTACTTTTTGAGAGATGGCTGAAAGTAGTTTTAGCTACTGTAGAGAATCCCTATTTCATTCTGTAGCAAGTGCTGTATAAAACAACCCCCCTCCCCCAAAACCCAAATACAGACTCGGAAAACTACAACGGGAAGAAAGAAAAACTGTCTACTTTTCAAGGGTTTACAAACAGAAGTAAAGTAGTCAAGTCACCCATAGGTAAAATGCAGTTTGATAGTTTGGGACTTTCATCCCAGGACATGGACCACACAACCAACTTCCTTGATATCTGTCCTAGACTCCCTGATGAAGGAAACTGATTAAGTATACTACTGATAAAGACAGATTACTAGTTAGGCAAATATTTTTGGTTTGTAGGCTTATCAACTCTACAGCAACTTTAAATTCTGAATATCTTCCTTATAAAACTGTAAAGCTTTAACTAGTCTTTATTCATTTTATCCAGCACTGAACATGAGCCAGCAACCCTTCAGGAATCAACTTGCTCCTGTTACGAATGAATGCTCTGTAAGCATGTTTTACCAATTACTATTAAACTTCGCTTTGGCTTTAAATACAGTATTCCCCCACCCCAAACAGAAGCTGTAATAGCTCCTTTGTCAGCAAATTATTTGTCTGCTTAAGGCACATGTCCCCAGTTAAAAGGTCAGATTGTTATTTGCCAAAGACTTAAGAAATTGTGCCATTTCATTTCTCTTGCATCAGGTCCAGGCATCACCTGACTACGCATATGCACTAGCAAGACAACAGATACACCATCCTATCCTATTAAGTCTACTAGTCAGTACACAACATTTTGCTGTTTGCATTTATGGATGCATACAACAGGGAAAACCCCAAAATAGCTGCTTTTTAAACTGTCATTTCAAGGTCTTCACAACAGGTTTGCTTGCTACTCAGAAGTGGAAACTGCCTAGGATGGAACTTAAGAATCTACAAATTAATACTTTGGTTTACACATCGAGCATCTTTCCCTGGAAAACCAGCTTCTCATAGCATCACATGCGTGCTTGCTCTCCTCAATATTTCTCAGAAACTTGGGTCACATGGGTGACTGCATTAGCTTCCGCCCGTCACAAGGCTGCAATGTGACAGGCTGAGCTAGAGGCTCAGACAAAACCTCGTCAACAGGGGCCTCTGAAATCAGCTTCTATTTTTATCTGTAAAGGCTGCCAACTCCTCCACAACCCACAGAACTGAAGCAGCAGAGCATACACCCACGGTAATGGGAAAATATAAAATCCGATTAACATGACTGCAGCTTCAGAGGATGCAGATTCTTCAATCCAATCGTGAAAAATGCAGCATCATGAGCCAGTCACCTCAAACAGCCATTTCCATTCCTAACCCACAGCAGCCGGAGTCGACAGCTGGGTGTGACCGGAGTCCCACAGGACAACTGCTCTCCCACTGCCTGGGCACATGCACAGGCAGTGCTCAGCATTTTTGGGTGGGCGGCTGCAACGAAAAGTATTTGCCTGCATACAGTCACCGCTTTTTCCTACTACCGAAAGGAGGAACCAGCTAGAAGGTGGAGGATATTCTCGTTCAACCCTGTTATTTCCTGTTTGACAAGGAACTAGCTGTTTTTCGGCTTGCACTAGCTCAACTAGGGCCCGCCTGTAACCTTGAGAGAAAGCGAGCGCCGCTGGTTTAAAAAAAAAAGTTAAGCCAGGGAACAAAGAGGGAGCATCAAGGCCATGGCCTTCAGCCACTCACTATTTTCCTTTTTGGGCTGAGAAGCATTGCCCAGCTGAGAAGCTGAAGCACCAACTGAGCATCAACCTAACCTTTCCCCAAAAAAGCTCTCTCCCTATAAGCCACACAGTATTTTTCCTTTGGGGGTGGGGGTGGGGTGGGAAGTGCTGCCCAACTCAGGGACTGTTTGATGCTGATCCACCAACCCAGCATCCACCTAGCCTTAAAGCTTTCTCTCTCCTTAGGAGCCCCTTGGTATTTTTCCAATTTCTTTTTTGGGTGGAGGGCCAAGAAGCGCTGCCCAACTTGGGGGCAGCTTGGTGCTGAAGCCAAGTCCCCATCCAGCCTTTCCCGAAAAGCTTTTTCGTAGGGGGAACCACAGCTGCCTGTGTTGAGATGCCGAGGGGTAGCTCTCAAGCCCCAAACCCGGGGAACTGCGTCAATGACGGGGCTGAATCGGCTGCCTGACCTCGATACTTACTGCCCGCTCCCCACCCCCGTGGAAGCCAGACCCGGGGGCGGAGCGGAGGGAACAGAGCGGGGGGAGCCCTGCCCGCGCCTGGCGGGGAGGAAGGGGGGAGGTAGCGGCGGGGCTGGCTCGGCTCCCCCCGGTGGCGGCGGCAGACAAAAGGCGG